TATATATATATATATAAAAGTCGAATCTAGCATTGATTTAAAATAGAATAAGTTTATTACAAAAAAATTCACGGGGACTTGGACCCCAAACAAACTAAGGATAAATACTTGAATTATAGCTTTTGTTTTTCACTTAGACGTGTTTTTTTGACTTTATAGGAGTCTTATATTATCTTTTATAAAAATATAGTTTGACCTATTATTTCCTCACAACCTTGTCAAATCTAAAACCTCAAAATCCACGACTCCTCAGTCCTCACCTCTCACCCGTTGAGGTGTTAATTATTTATTTTAATTGTGATGAATTAGTTATTTATTTTTTATATAAAGGAAAGGAGATAACATCTTAAATATAAAAAAGGTAGGTTTCTTTTTAACCTTTTATGCTAAAGGTTGGTTTGACAAGATTGGTGATAAACAATCACATGTTTTAGTGTTTTCTAGAGTCTCCTAGATTGCACTAGACACACAGTAGCATGCTTTCCTCGTTGGTTTTCAATTCGAAGTCCAAATAATCGTCTTATTTGTCATTGTTGCCGCTGGCTAGACTTGCATGCGGGTCATTCACCTTTGTCGTCACAACCTACTTTAAGTTTCTTTGCTTTTTCCATCAAAGTGAAATTTCTTTGCTTTGCAAAACCCCCCCTTTTTATAACTAGCTAGATTGTTAGGGCTTGAGCGACGTCCTATTATTAGAATGGTAAAAAATATATGCGAAGGAGATACTTCAATTGAGAAATGTTTGCACTTTTACCACTAAATTTAACATTTTTAACAACATTTATTTACTTATATTTATTAAAATATTATAAATTAAATTAATAAGTTATTGTAACATTTATTTTTAAAAAATATTATTATAAATAAAATAATATTTTTTATCTCAATATTATTCTTTATAAGTATCTTTCAAAAATAAGTCTTACATCAAATAAAAGAATAATATATAAAGAGTATATATTTTTTTAACTAATTATTTTTTAAAGTTAAAATCTCATCATAGAATGAAACTTAATAAATGAACTTTGATACATAATTTAAATTTAATAGTGACTAATTTACGCTAGTTTCTCTTGATAAAAAATATAAAATATCTTAAATATTAAAAAACTTGTAGATAAGACTCGTAAAATAGCAGTGATGATATAATCTGATTATTATTTTACAAAGTTTATAAAAGTTTAGCAATGACATTAAAATATTACATAAAATGTACCATTTTGATAATATTTTTTAAAATATATTCATTAATATGTAAAATATTGTTAAAAGTCTTTAACAACATAAATATTATCTTACATTAATAAAATAATGTAAAAATATATTAATAATATTTTTTATAATTTAGTAACATTTTTTTAATGTTACTAAAAATACGTTGTGTTGTGGTGTTTTCATAAGCTTATTAAATACAGATAAATGCTATAATATCAAGTGATAGACTCAACATGAGTTATGAAAAATAGATTGACCGGTACAAGACTGATGCGAGTGAAAATCGGTACTCATACCAAAAAAATTTACTTATTGAAATTAGGGAAGTAGTTGAACCAGAACAAATAGGTGAACTAGTCAGGTTGCAATTATAATTTTCTTCAAAGAAACAATAATTAAAAAAATATCATTTAAACTTTGTAAACATCATTTTGAAGTATTGATTACTTTGAAAATAAAATTTGAATATTGATATTATTTATGTTTTATTTTTTAATTTATTTATGAAGTTGTGTTATTGACTTTAATTTAATTGTTTATGAACTTTGTTATTATAAACTTCATTTTTTTTACCATGTTATAAACTTTAGTTTAATTGAAATTTTGGATATTGAATATTTTATAATGATAATATTTTAAATTAAAAATATTATTATAAACTTATGATTTTAAATTTGAAATTTAAACATGTGATATTTCTCATTTAATATGACAATAATTTTAAATTTAGAATATGAAGTATCTTGCATTATGTTAATTATTTTATCTTTTTTAATATAGCATTGTTTAACTAGCTAGTTCAACAAATGATCTTTTAATTTGATCACTAAATCATCAAACTATTTTCTAAACCAATTTATAATTGCTCAAAACAATATTTAATGATTTTTATTTCACATTTTGAGTAATAATATATCTTCGTATAAATTCTCTTATAAATTATCATAGTATTTTTTATGAAAATATGAGATTAAAATAAATAATTAATGATTTAAAAATATAGATCCATTCAATATTTATCATTAAGAGAATATTAATGGTAAGAAATTTAGAATTATTCTTTACTTTTTTATATAGCATCTTTTATAACAACCTAGTGACCCATAACCAAAAATCCTTCTTGGGAATAGCAGCATGATAAGAATTAAGCTTATTGTATGCTTTTTTTTTTTTTTCCATCCTTGTATGATTGATTACATAGATAGTTGATATATCTGTATAATAAAAACTCATGGATGCCATTTTGCTTTCGCTATAATTCAGCGGGGACACAGACTCTGTGGTTCCAGTGACTGCCACAAGGTTTTCTCTCAACCACCTTAACCTCAGCATCAGAACTCGTTGGTATCCATGGTACTCAGGTTATGGACAGGTATATATTTATCAAATTTGTAACTATAACATTAATTTCATGTGCCATGTTCACACATAGATTAATTTGTGTGTGTTGGGGTTGCTTAGGTGGGAGGATGGACAGAGGTGTATGATGGACTCACTTTTGCAACAGTTAGAGGAGCTGGCCATGAAGTACCTTTATTTCAGCCAAAGAGAGCTTACATTCTTTTTAAGTCCTTTTTGGCAGGAGAGGAACTACCAAAACATTAATTCACATGTATTCATTAATCATTAATAATTAATATATCTTTCATGCTTCCACCTCTATTTAGAAACTGCTTAATTCCCATCACTTGGTGGCCGTGGCTCCATCGGCTAGGGTGTCAAATTTTCAAGTACAGAAATTCTAGTAACAACGTTTTTTTTTTCCCCTTCTTTCATTGGATAATGTTAACTCTATTTTTAAAATATTAATTTTTAATAAATTTTAATTACAAACAGTAATGTGTTGCATGTTAGATAAACGACTGTCTAAGTAAGTTTTTCATGTTCTTTCTTTGAGTGGTCAACTAATTCTTTGAAATGTTTTATGAGTCAATAGGTCTAAATGACACTATGCTCCTGATTCAGTGGGTACCTAGTTGAAACATGTCTTGATTGATCTATAAGAAGGAGCAGATAACTTGGTAGCTGATATCATGTTCTGTAATTTGATGGTAATATTTTGGGTATCATGTTATTAGGCTGGGTAGGTAAAATTTGGATATATCATGTAGATGGGTTGGGATACCTATTGAAATTCTATAATTTTTTTTTTAATTTAGAATGTATAAAAAGATCAATTAGATAAATTTTCAAAAATAGAAAATATAAAAGTGACTTTACTAAAAGAGTAACTTTCTGGGGAAAAAGAATAAGAAGAAACTTCATCATTGGATTTTTCTTTTTCCAAATGTGTCCATACTCACCGCTTGTTGACAAAGACAGAGAACAGAGAATAGATTTTTACCAAACAAATAATAAGATAAGGACAAAAAAACACCTGGAAAGAAGGTTCATAGCACCATTTCCAATTATCCTTCGATAATTTTATGAAAGATTGCAAAATCAGAAATCACTATTAAAAGAGAAATAAGCATTTGTGACAGAGTTTTGTATGAAAAAAAGGAGGTTCATCTCACTGTCATCTCTTCAAACCCTTCATTGAGCCATGACAGCATTCCTAAGCTGTGCAAGATCACTCATCCCTTCCTCCATGGCCTGGACAGTAATATATGCAAGGGCATGTTATTCAAAATCAATAACCACGAACGCAAATGAATTTCCACTCTTCCTCTTGACAATTGAGATTTTTACCTGCGATTAAAAGTGAAAGCTTCTGCAACCAAAATATGTTTAACAATAATATCATTTTGTACTATTATGTGCAATCAAGACCATATATACTTAGATTAATAAAAGTTATCAGTTGTCCACCCCAATTATTTTTTACATAAAATCCATGTATCATAATCATTCCTTTATTAACTCATTCTCAGTTTAACCATCAAACTCTGCATAATACCGTAAAGAAAAATAATCCATTATAACTGAGAAAGGGAAAAACAAGGAAAGCTATAATTGTTTAGCAAGAATGTCTCATGTACATATTTTTTTAATTATAAAACTCGTTAAAATTTGATAATTAATACTATCGTTCTTAAAGATACACATTAATTAAAAGTATTATGAATTTAATTAAAATACATTGAGTATATAAAAAAATTATAGTATCATCTAATCATATGTTACTATATAATACACTCACTAATTGTTATAATAATTACTTTAAAGATAATTTTAAGTTAATTAATGATGTAAAAAATTTATACTAACAATAACTAGAGTAAAATATTATTTATAATAAAAATAATAAAGTTTAATTTTTTAATAAATTTTCTTATATTAAAAAAATTGGTAGAAAACAAAACTGAGAAACAGTATTATTTAACAGAGATTGTAAGTAGAAGGACAAGATAGGTGATTGGAGTCTCACACGTACACAGTGAGTGGAAGAGAGATAAAGAGTGACCGACAGAAAAAAATTGAACAAGTGCAAAAAACCAAACTCCAACATCCACAGGTACCGGCAGCTTTATTTTACCCTATCTCCTGTTCACTCGTCACCTATAGAATCTTTGTTTCTCTGCATTCCCTATTATTTTATTTTTATTATTGTAATTTTTATAAATAAAAAATAAATTATTAATTTGAGTGATGCTAAATTTAATTTTAACTAAATTCTTTAATAAAGAATAGTGGTTGAGAAAATCGATTGTACATGTTTAAAACTGAAATGATCTCTAGTTATGTATTGAATTGAGGAATGTTATAAAAAAAGAATAGAAGGAGAAAATAGGGTTAAAAAAATGAATATGTGGATTATTAATAAAAAAGGTTGGGTAAGGCATGTAGAAATGGTGATGGAGGTTTGAAAGAAGGGAAGTAGTGGGTAGGTTGGTGTCCCTCAGAAAAGTGGTGAAAGTAGGTGGTGGTGGGATCTTTCCAATTCCATTCATGAAGTTGGAGGAAACATTAAATATAAAGATAGGGCGTAAAGTACCTAATCCACCCTTCCCTTTTCTTCTTTACTTTACCCCTTTCATCTCTTTTCTCTCCACCCAGGGCCAGGACACAGGACACAGGACACGGGACACGGGACACGGGGTGAAAAGCAGATAAAGAAGCACGAAAATGACAAGGGTAGACAGGTAAAAGCACACTTTAGATAGATATAAAAATAATGGTTGTGAATGGCAGCATGAGACGAAAGTACTGAAATCCTAAAAATATAAGGATGCAACAACAAGTGCTACAGCGTAGCAGAGAAACAGCATCATCTCATTATCCCTTCAGCCCCTAATCTATCTATCTATCTATCTTCAATACTACACTACCCCTCTTTCTCTCTCTGACCCATTCCCTTTCTCTTTCTCTCTCTACAAATTGCTTCCTTGCATGCTTGCGTAGCTGCCATGTATTCAGCTTCTGTAGTA